TCTAGGGTGACAAAAACCTTACCTTAAACCCGCCGGCGTCCGAAAAACGTGATGACAGGCGAAATTGTCATTATCGAGTATGGTTATAACGACTCACTTAGAGGAATTAACAACATTATAAAATTTACGGAATACAACATCTATCGATAATACGGGAACACACACTCATTTGTCTTCAGTTTTAGGGTAATAAAATTACAACACCTCTTTATAAGCAGACAACATCGGGTTGTCTGGAATTATTCACTTCCTACACTCACAAACATTAACACACATGCATTAATACAAGATCGGACACAAACATTTCAAACCGTTTTTTCAGAAAATATCGTATTTTCTGGTGTTTACAAGGTAATACGAAAACATTTTACTCAAACATGCTGATGAACTCACTAACATTATATATGTTGACCTTTTTAAATTAACTTGTATTATCAGAAAATCGTTGAGCAGGATGGTCAGTAAGAATACCTGGATATTTTGTTGTGTTTATTTTATCATCATATTTGGATATTTTGGCATGTAATATTGAAATACAATACTCGATGTAAACAATGACAGTTGTAATATTACATGTGTGATCATGATGATGTTTGGATTCAATTATATACACTGTGATGATACTACAAAAATGAAGTCACCCAAGCCCCGGACGTTCCCGTCGTCTGGTTCGGGGGTGTGACAGGTTTGAGTTGGTAGTCTTAGTTGGAGGCATGTTAGAATTTTATTAAGTTTTCTCATCGTGGGTCAGAGTATATATAACTCTTATATATTATTGTTGGTGGGGTTTGCAGTATTTTTAAATTTTGTTTTGTACTCCAAGACTACCAAGCATAGACGAGGGCCAGACAGGAAACACCGGAGGGTAGGACCATTTTAGCAATTAAGCCGTTCTGAAATCCAACAACCCAAACGGCATTTCAAACCAGATTTCTCGTACCGTAAGTAGCCAAGAAGTAGTGTAATTAATATTAATAATACTTTTATTAGAAGCCAGTTGCTATAGTTGTATTCCTCTTTCGAGGATACGAGTTCACTATAGCCAATTTAGCTCTACCAATCTATCACTTCCCCGGCCGAGGCGGCGGAACACGCCGGGCCGTGTGACTAAGTTCATGGATCACATGCAAATTGAATATGTAGCACAAGTACAACAATAAACAAAATAGCATTCACATTTCATCTTGGTATTTAAATACAAGGTTTTTACAAATAATAATAATACATGAATTGCCTTAAAAGATAGATGTGACATCCCCAATTTCATGGCCACAAAAGACCGGTTTGTTTATGCTTTGTTTTAAAATCAGAGTTATCTTTTAAAGAAAACAGTTGCGGAATTTGTCCCAAAAACAAAATATGATAACCATTTATCAAAGCATTTCTTTTAAGAAATGTATTTTCATTAAATAACAAAATCTCGGGATGTCATGTTCCGATACAGACCAAAAGCATAAACAGTATAAAATAGACCTTACAACAGTCATTTATAACTACTGATCTATAATCCAAAATCTCTCGTTAAGTCCACCAACTTATACTCTTGTGCCATTACCTGTAATGCAAAGAAAACTGAGTGGGTCAGGCTTGGGAGCCTGGTGAGCATATAGGGTTTTCAACCCACAATAATATAATTATTATATTTAATCATCAAACAATCAACTCAATTACCCATCCCCATTATCTTCTTTATTTCTTAAGATTTTACCCTAAGAATCAACTATCCTTTATTCATTCGTTCCTAAGGATTGACCTAAGGAATTGACACGAAGTCCATAGCTGCCAAAGTTTATCTATCAGGTACTAAATCCATAGCTATCAGACGCTAACTCCATAGTCACCAAGGTTCACTTAACAGGCGCTAACTCCATAGTCACCAAGGTTCTTCATTAGGCACTAAGACAATAGCTGCCAGGGTTCTTTATTAGGCACTAAGACAATAGCTGCCAGGGTTCTTTATTAGGCACTAAGACAATAGCTGCCAAGGTTCTTTCGTAAAGCACTAATTCCATAGCTGCTATGGTTCATTCATCGGGTACTAAATCCATAGCTACGAGTGTAGGTACTAAGTCCATAGCTACCAATGTTTATCTAACAGGTACTAAGTCCATAGTTATTATCGTCTATCTAACAATACTAAATCCATAGCTACCAGCGTTCGTCTATACGGTACTAAATCTATAGCTACCAAGGTTCATCTATACAGTACTAAATCCATAGCTACCGAGGTTTATCTTTACAGTACTAAATTTATAGCTACCGAGGTTTATCTTTCGTCTCATCCTCAAACTCATCCGTCATCACACACCAACTAATTCGTCTACCCATGTTCTACCCAACATATTTGTAGATATAACATACATATACAGTTTAACTCATTTAATACCTATATAAAACATCCATTCCATGCTTATCTCAAATAAACAACAATATATAAACACATAACACGTATTTCGTAGCAAATACTTAATACTTATATGTTAGAAGAAAGTGACTACACACTCACTTGATCAGAAGATGATCGGACAGCACTACGACTCTAAGAGTAGTATTCTTCGGTGAAACCGGGATCACTTCATACACCGGACTTCACGCGGGCAGAGCTTCGGCTCGGAAACTCTTTTCTTCTCGGGATCTTCGGGCTTCGGGACTCGCTTCGGGTCTCGGGATGATACCGGGGCTTCGGGGGTACTTCTTTGCACGTAAATCGAGGTAGTATGGGTGAGAGAAAAGAGATTTGGCAACCACAAACGGCTGCCCCTTCAAATCTATTTATAGGGCTGTTTTCTCATTTTCCACGTCGTGGGCTTGGTCGTCATTGCATGCGTCATCGTCCACTTGCTCTGTCAGGCTCCAGAAGGCGTCAGAAGCCATGCCACGTCGTGAGCACTGTTTCCACGTCGTGGTCTCTGACAGTTTTGGGGTTTCGCGCCCCGAACTTCAGGAATTCATAACTTTCGCATACGAACTCCGTTTTCGACGTTTTTTATATCGACGCGTAGGTAAAAACAAGATCTACAACTTTCATTTAGACTCCGTCGGCTAACTTTGATTTTATTTTTATTATATTATTTTTATATTATTTTTAGTAGGCCGGGACAGGAAAACTTCGTTATAAACTCATAACTCCTTCGTCTGACGTCCGTTTTCGTCTGTCTTTCCGTCAATGCACTACTATCGATGAGATCTTCAATTCTCATTTAGATTGTTTCGGCTAAATATCGCTCGATCTCATATTCGAACTTCGGGCTGTACACTGCTAAGTCGAAACTTCGAAAAATCATAACTTCCTCATACGAAGTCAGATTTAGACGTTCTTTTTATGCACGCTCGCGGTTTAACGTATTCTACGACTTTCATTTAGATTGTTAAGGCCAAATATCACTCTAACGTAAATTCACTATTTACGTCGCGCTGTGTCGTGCCGGTTCTTTCGCGAAACTTCGACAGGTCATAACTTCTTCGTTATAACTCGGATTTCGGCGTTCTTTATATGTACGGAATCCTTGTAACATATACTATAACTTAGTTAAGATTAATCCTTCTAAATAATCTTCCATCAAAAAGTCATTTTTAATGCTTATCGTCTCTAAATTGACTAGCCCGGATCTACGGGCGTTACAATAGACATATAATACAACAATAAGTAAACTAGGTCACTTGTAATCTAATCCGTCTTGAATGCATGTTTACTGATTTCCTGAGAATACATGTAATTTTGAGGGTTAACACAAGGTTGGTGAGCGTTACAAGATCTCTGTTAACCGCGATAATACTTTTAAAAAGTCCAAAAGGTATTATCTTTGTATGTATAACGATAGTTAAAACAGTGTTTGCAATGAGTCTTTAAAAGCCCAAAATGTATATATGTATAAGTAAATCTATACTTTAAAATGTGTTTGTAATAAATCCTTGAAAGCCAAAATGTATCTTTTGTATAAGTAAATCCATACTTTAAACTGTGGTTGTAATAAACCTTTGAATATCCTTGAATATCAAACTATTATGTTGCATAAGTAATTCCGTACCTAAAAATAGTTTTGAAAGCAACCAAGCCCATGGTTGTAGTGAGAAAGATATATATATATATATATATATATATATATATATATATATATATATATTCTAGTTAATGTTTTTAGTGAGTACTATAACCGAGCTACCTGACTGAATGTACCCCTACAACGCTTCATTGGATGTTGTAGTAAAAATTGTTGACACTAATCACCCCCTTCGATTGATCATTCGAGGGTGGTAGCTAGCAACCGCAGGTGGGGATGTCAACCCCGTATAGATCTGTACATATGTATCTCGCTCCGAAGATTAACGGTTACACTTGTGTGGGTATGCTAAGTATTTAAACTCAGCTAATGAACAACGCAGCGTCTGACTAAAAATCCCTTAAATAAAAAGTTTGTGAATAAATCTCAGCCCTAACTTACTTGTGGATAAGTCACTAGGCATAATGAATATCGTTGTATAAGGTTTATAAAAGCCAAGTATGTTTGATTGTATATATATATATATATATATATATATATATATATATATATATATATATATATATATATATATATATATATAATGTACTCGCTTTTATAACAATGAATATTTTAAATTAACGAACATATGTACATGTATAAACATGGTGTACTTAAATATATAAATAAACATGTTTAATAATAGCTTTGAATCCTTAAAATACTACAAAGTTTCATAACGTACTTGTTATAATATTCAATGTCACACAGAAATCATAAAACTTTGTATAATGTAGTATTTGTTGTGTGAACTGGATATTTCACGATAAAATAATCAAAACACGTATACGAAAAGTTTTCACTAGTTTATTTTTAACAATATGATAAATTGTTAAATAATAATATTTTTATAAACTACGTTTATTGTATTTTCACATAAAAAAGTAATTTGTTTGTATAACCAAAATGTATTGGCATATGTATCCACCCCCCCCCCCCCAAATAATTAAAATATTAAAAAGGAGTCGTATGCACACACCCTTGAAGCGTGAGTTCCATTTGTTCGAAATTGATTTGTTTGAGAAGCTTGACGTGAGAAACCGTAAATTCACAATTCTTGAAGTTTAAAATACTCTCAGGACCAATTCGTAATAAATATAAACTACTGGGGATGTTTGGTAATTTATTATAACCAAAATAGGACTGATTTAGTTAAAATAATTCAACGAAGTGCTTCATTTTGTAACTTGAACAAACTATAGGGGCTGGTATGTAACTTCTTGAGTAGATGGGACTGTTTTGGTTAACAATTACCAAAAATGGGTTGTTTTTGAAATAATGGAACTAATATTTAGGGATTGGCACTGATTTCGAAATAATGTTTTAATAACAGGGGTAGTTTTGTCATTCATCAAACTTAATAGAAATTAGGGCTTTTAACTTGCCCCGTCATTTCTTGATCGATCAGGCTTGAAAGGAAAGCGGATACGGGAGCAATGAAATCAGATAGCGAGAAGGAAGCGTGACGCGGCTTCGAGGCCAGATGGTGGTCGTCATCTCGCGAAGGGAACGGAGTGCCTCCGGGGTTGGCAAGGCCGAAGATGGAGATGGGTGAAGCAGCGAGGCGACTATGATCCTTGGACGATAAGGAAGAGACGAAGCAGCGGGGCTGCTCGTCTTCTGTCTTGGAAGTAGTACCGAAGGGGAAAGAGGTCCGAAGGGGTCTGGGAGGCGTCGCAACAAGCAGCAGCGATGGTGACCGGGTGTTCGGTGGGTTTGCTAGACGGGAGGGGAAGAGGAGGGTGCGAACGGTGGGACGCTGAGCGACGGCAGTTCCGGTAAGGGGTTTGGTGGCAGTTGCTTTCTTCATTCTTGATGTTTGCAGGTGCGTTGATGGAGGCTGTTCTGGCAGCTCACCTGTATTTTTTTTTTTTTTGGCAACATGAGATCAAAAAGAACAATGATTACAGGAGGTTCGGTGGTGCTGGTGGATTGCTGCTTCTTCTTCTCCGGTGAACTGTGCCAACAGGTAAAAGAAAATTCTTTTTCTTCTTTTTGTTTTTATTTGATTGCTTGATAGTAATCAAAGGAAAGAATTTGTGTTTGGGTTTTCCTGGAAAAATTGATGACAACGAAAGGGATATGGGTTTGATTGTGTTAACATAACTCATGGTTGTTTGGGTTTTGGTATTTGACAGGGGAGAAGGAGAAAAATAAATGGTGTTGCTGCCCTTATTGCTGGCTGGAAAACGTATGAACAACAGTTCTTGGCTGGAACTCGAAAGAAGGAAGAGGAAAGGGAGAAAGTATGTTGACTGTAATTGTTTGTTTGTTTGTTTTTTTTTTTTTTTTTTTTTTAAATAGTCTTGAAAGTGTTTGATTTGATATTGGTTGAGTCTGAGTATAGATTTGGCTTTGTGTTTGAGTGTTCTCCAAGGTTGAATAAGTGTGCACGTAATATGTTCCTGTTCTTTTGTGTGTGGTGTTGTAGGAAAAGGATTTTCTACACAAATAGATTTTTGCAATTGTATATAAAATCTTTTATTTCATTTTATTGTGATTGTTGGAGTATAATTTAGGATTTGATTTTTGTGAGTGTAGGGATATTTGTTAATCTATTATCAGATTTTGGAAAGAAAATTTGGAAGTGTTGAAATCTTTGAAGGATTTTTAGTTAACTTGTATATATTTTGGTTAAACTTGTAGTTTTCATTTTAGCCAAATATACACTTCTTGCATTGTATTAGTTATAAACAATAGTAGTTTTTACTTCGGTATTACATATATTTGGTTTTAAATTCATACGTTACGAATGTAATGTAATGTAATGTAATGTAATGTAATGTAATGTAATGTAATGTAATATATATATATATATATATATATATATATGGAAAAGTTCAATAGAGAACCATAATTATTGGTTCTTCAAAGAACCAAATCTTTTTTTCAATTTCTAAAGCTTATTCTTTATCGAAAAAAAAATCTAAAAATATCTAAATTCATATATTAACATTGTGAATGTGAAAAATAATTTTCGGATTCACCGTGTAAATCCGGATTCACATTGTGAATTTTCAAATATTCACATTGTGAATTTGACGTAAAAAAAAAATTCGAATTTGATATCATTGAAAAAAAGATAAAAAGTTATGAATTTCTGTACTTTTAGTTTTTTTTTTTGATAAAAAATAAGTTCTAAAATTTGAAAAAAGGATTGGTTCCTTGGTTAATTATGGTTTTCTATTGAACCTCACCCTATATATATATATATATATATATATATATATATATATATATATATATATATATATGCTTAGGTTATTTTGTTTTTACTAATTATTATGTGCCAGAATGCACACATCTGGACCAATGGATGAATATAATTAACAATCATGATCTGAGGGTCTATGATATTACAATAGAATAACATGTATCATATAATCACACAAATTTCAGCAAAAAGAGTATTTTGGTCAATTAATCTATTTTAAAAAAGAAAATTTTCGGATTTTAAGGGATCATTAATTCCCTTATTTTTAAAAATCTGAATTATTTAAATTAATTCTAATTAAATTTTAATGTTATTTTTAATAAAAACCGATTTTATTTTGTCAGAATGACAAAAAGTCAACAATAAACTAGTAAATATATTTGCGGTTTTATTCTTGCAGAATATTGTTTCATTCAAGATACTATTTATATTAAACATGCTTAAAGAACTATACAACATATTATCAAGAATAACATTTTCTAAAAAATACGGATTACATTTATTCTAAAAGATTAAAACTAAAAATGGTTAAAAAATAAAAAAAAAACATCAAAATCTAACAAAGACACTAATCCATTCCAAAAGAATATTATTGTTAAGAAACACTTTATACATTTTAGCATAATACATTTTGCAAGAATACACTCTAGTTCTCCATGTTTTTTCTCTTTTTTCACATCAATGGCAGCCTCTTCAAAACCTAAATCCACAAAAAAAAAACATAATCAACTTTCAAATATTAAAAAATTCAGAGCATTCTAAAAGAATAACAACTATAAATTCTGATAGAATGTAGTAGACATCAAACAATTGCAATTTATTCTAACAACATGCATTACTAGTTATTCTGCTAGAATATACTATCGCTATTCTAATAACATGCATTACTCGTAATTATGCTAGAATGCATTACCAGTTAAACAAATATACTTGTTGTTAATAAAAAATTCTTAAAGACTTTTTGACAGAATGCATTTATATAAATAAATTCTGACAGAATACATACAAGTTTTAACTTATATTCTAATAGAATTTACAACATCTTTTTTTTTTATAAAATAAAAACACCAAAATAACATAACTACACATATTAACATCAATTCTAAAAAAAATATTTCATTTCTATTTGTTGCTTAAACTTCAATTCCTTAAGAAGTCTAACAAAATATTATCAACTTTACTTCTAACAGAATATTTCAACACAAGTATAAACATGTTACCTTAACATATTCTGACATAATCTTCCCAATAAGTCCAACATATCAAACTTGCCTCTTTTACACAAAAACTTTCTCTTATTGACATTATATCAAACACTTGGAGGCATGTTTTATTATCAAACACTTGGATATGATAGGTCCAATTCTCTGATTGCATCATCAGCATTTTGGACCTCTACACGTACCATAGTTACAGCACCAGTAACATAGTTTCTCATTTTCAACTGTGTATAACCTAAATGTTCTGTAAAGAAACATCCTGACCACTGCCATCCAGGCTCATCAAAACGAGCAGACACCAGTAATTCCCTGTTTTATGTTATAACTACATATAAGTGAATTGTGGTAACAAAAAGTTTATAAAAAAAACAAACAATGTACCTTGTTATGTCTGTCCAATGAATATGAGAATGTTGTCCCACCTTCAAATGGTATATAAAGTCATACCCTTTCTGCCTGTAGCACAAGTCCTTACTGCATGCATTACTAATAACATATCTAGGCTGGAAATTGATAATCCTTGTTCTTCCAGAATATGGCCCAGAAATAGCACTAGATGCAACAGATATTACATATGAAGCATTGGTTGATGATCGGGGGACAAAGACTATAGTAGAACTGGTTGGTGGGACAAGGAAGAATTGACTAGACAATGTGTAGTTTGAGGTGCTTGCCACATCAGATTCAGAGTGGGACCGACTAACTCTGACCATGATCTCACTCGAAGCAATATTAGGGTCAATGATCAATTTCCCCAAATCGACATTGTAGGAGATAAAAAAGATTACATAAATCATTAAAATCAAGAAAAATCGCCATGGGGGAGCGGACCGATATTTGAAGTTCAAGAACAAATTAGGGGAATCTGAATCTATCAAAATACCTCAACAATTTATGGGTTTAGATCCATAGTTCCCTCATGGCTTCTCGACAATCGTCATTGTTAAGAATTGAAGAAATTAACAGATGGAGGTCGGCGAAGAGAGGAAGTGGGCAGCGGTGATGGTGATGGTGTTGATGCCGATGATGAACGTGTTTTACCACACACGACTAGGTCAAATATATTTACTCTATTTCCTTAATTGTAGGATTTCAATTAAATGATTTCCTTAATTAAAAGTACAAAAGGTCCAAAATACCCTTAAATGATTTATTTAATTATTTGTTATTTTTTGAATTCTCATTGGTGCATTTAGGCACAAAATAGTTGCTATAAACATTTGAACCTATCTCTCTCTCTCTCTCTCTCTCTCTCTCTCTCTCCCTCCCTCCATCTCTCTCTCTCTCTCTTTATATATATATATATATATATATATATATATATATATATATATATATATATATATATAGTGTTATTATATAAAATTCAATTATATAACATATCTACATTGTGATTATACTATTAATTTGGATCTTTCGAAGTTGCATACGACATCAAAATTATATATATACAATTATAGTGGTTTTGCCAATATATATTTTATAAACATTTTCACAATAATAACTACAATATATTTTGTATATATTTATTTATCGTGACGTATAATATACTTTTGTATATATTTATTTATTGTGATGTATACCTTGATTCTTGTGTTGCGTCGTCGGGTAATTTTTCTGATGGTGCCGATCGATCGATTTTTTTTCCAGGATTCTAAAAATCCGAACTGATAAATTTTTCGAGTTGTAGAACTCCAGGAATTTGCGTTTAAAGTTTCACGTTTAATCAGAACCGAAGCGTCCAGTTTCTCAACTTTTGTAAATATTTTTGTGATAAATATCTCAATTATGAAATTAAATATTAGACTATTGCTTGTCTCCAAAAACGCTTTCAGAATTTCCATTTGAGGTGTGCTATCTCCCCAATCGAACTTTTTGTCCTTCTAGGTTAGTGCGGTGAAAGGATTGGCTATTTTGGAGAAGTTCTTGGTGAATCTCTGCTAATAGTCTGCAATCCCTAGGAATTGGCGTACTTCGTTTGGTGTCCTTGGTCAATACGAATGGTATAACCAGAAACTAGTAGTGACTATACCGCGTCCTGATTGTTGTCTTTGGAATGTCTACTTCTAATACTCTAAGTTGATGGTAGTCGAATCTTATATCGATGTTTGAGTAGTAGCAACATCCGTGTAGTTGGTCGAACAGGTCATCGATCCTCGGGAGTGGATATCGGTTTTTGATGACTAGTTTGTTCAACTCTCGATAGTCGATGGATATCCTGAACAGTCCATCCTTCTATTTGATAACAATACCGGAGCTCCTCATGTAGAGAAGCTTGGCCGGATAAAGCCTTTGTGAAGAAGTTCTTGGAGTTGACTGGATAGTTCTTGCATTTCCGATGGAGCTAGACGATAAGGATATCTTGCAACTGGTGTTGCACCCGGGATTAGGTCGGTTCGGAATTCGACTTGTCTGACTAGAGATACTCCAGGAAATAAGTCCGGGTAATCGCATACTTGCAGTATGTCTTTAATTTCCTTACTCTTGTCTTGCATATCCACCACGTATGCCAAGAAAGTGAAGTATCTCTTCTGTAAACACTTTCTCGCCTTCATGCAAGAGATGACTCTTAGTTTCTTTCTTGATTTTTCTCCGTAAATCATGAGAGCTTCGTTGTTGGGTAAAGGTATTCAGATGGCTTTTTCGTGACATAAAATCTCTATTTGATGAAGTGATAACCAATCCATTCCGATGATTACATCGAAACTTCCAATGGTCATAGGCATTAGGTTGACGTGAAAGACGTGGTTATTCAGGGCCTTTCTGTAAAACTTAGAGGTGTGACCTCTTAAGTTATTGTAACAACCATTTATTTTTCAAGTCAATAAAA